AGAGAGAGAGAGAGAGAGAGAGAGAGAGAGAGAGAGAGAGAGAGAGACAGAGTAAAATACAAAGTACATTGCCGGGCAAACGATTTATAACAACATCCATCAGTTTGGTTGAACGTATCTGGTTTACTTTTGCATAGTACATATAACCGACACACAATCATTCACTTCGAGCCATATTCCCTCCGACAAAAGCGATCCGGATTTCAGAAAAGAAAAGTCAGATCCAACGATTCGGATTAGAAACGCTTTCGGAGTTTGATGTATGTGTGGTGCGATGCAGTGCAATGGTGGATAGAGAGACGAGCGCATCGAAAACCAACAACTCACAATTCATTATATAGAATACAGAAAGAGAGGGAAAAAGACGTTTTTTTTTCATTCTTCTTCGGCCGATTTTGTTTTGTTCTTCGCATTCTACCGCAAAATCTATTGCATTATCGTTACCGTTCATGGATTTGATATGCATGTTTTTGTGCCAGACTTTTTCACAATGCAAATCGAGAGGAAGAGAGAGAGAGAGAGAGAGAGAGAGAGAGAGACAGTGCAATAGTATCGCTTACACACAAGTGGTGGTCGGTGTTGGTGAAAATGATGATTGTTGGAAACCAATACAACCGGTGGACAATAATCCAACAGCACAAACTTCCAATTGGTTTATTAATATTTATTTGAAAGAGCAAAACTTTTATGACTGACGACGACCACGACAACAACAGCGACGACGGCTCTCATTTGTCTAAACGATAATGGTTATATCTAAGAAAAGGATGTCTTTGGCTTTTCTCACGAATTATCCAGAGCCATGACAAAAAGTCGATGGTAACGAATGATGATGGCAGCAGAGTTAAAGGAGAATGAAATGCCATGAAAGCCGCATAGAAGGTAACGTAAGAAGCTCGATGGTTGAACGAAGGTGGAGGATAGTTCAGCAACGAAGAGTGAAAGCGCAAGTAAGAGTAAGAGAAAGAGTGAAGAAAGAGTGGGAGAGACACACTGAAAGAATAGATACGGAGAGACTTGAAGGGAAAGAGAGATGTATAGATGAAGAAAAACTGGAAGAAAATGGCATTCATTCGGCAGAAGTCATACGGCGTTTTAAATAACTCACTTCAATGAATCGTGCCCAAGGAGCGTCCAACAATATCACAAGTGAAAATTAACATTATAACTACGCAGTTGGATCAAATCATTATATCCGTATGCATAGTTTTTCACAATGTCGTTCATAAAAGCGATGTGGTTCTTTGGCTTTAGCCAAGCATGAGTCGAGCTACCGTTTTGGCTGTGTAAATGGAGCCGAACAACCGTTTTTTTTTCTCTCAATTTATTCATGAAATCAAGGTTGTACCCCAAACTTCATAACGAGGAAAAATAATTATAAAATTATTTCGGTTGGAATTGGTATAAATGTGAAACTATTCTGAAAGGTGGTGCGATGGTTGGGGTACGTCAGTTTCCAAAATGAAAATAAGTTTGAATGACGGGACTACTGTTTGCCATTGCCGGTTCATCTGACACAAGGCGATAAGCTATTTTCAGAGTTGAGAGAGACAATTCCAACCGGATTATTCAATGAGATAACAACCAACAAGGCAATAATATTCAAGCCAAAATTGACGGAACATGCACGTAAATTTATTATTTAAAAACATCGATATTCGTGTGTCGGGTGTGTAGCTGTGTGTTTCTCTCTGTTTTTTGTATGTCTACATGCCTGTGATCTCCCCAATCGCGTAAAAATACTCGCTCGCAATGAATATTTAAATGGCTTTTGTTTCCACCTGATTTCCCAATGATATCGGTATGACAGATCAATAAATATGGGTTAATAAATTCCATGTATTTGTCGATTTCATATTAAATGCTATCAGTTGGCTGAGGATTAATTAATATGTGAACGCAAGGGTACGATGCTTGTCTCTCCATATTGCCCCATTATTGTTTTCTCTGCATACCACATTGCATGAATGCAATGACCAGCTACTGCAATGTTTGCTGTTTTAATTTAATGCCAAAGTTGTTTGAATGAATTAATTAAACAAGGTCAACAATGTGAATGAATAAAAAAAAATCAAACATTAACAATATTTCGAGTGTACAATGCTCGACAATTTGTTCATGTTTTTTTTTGTTTCTCTCATCTCTTCTGCCGCGGAAATGGGATCAAAGTTTTTCCCATTCATCCTCACACTGTGTGAGTCACACAATATGCGAAAATTAGTGCAGAAATTAAATCCACAAGTTAAATAGAACAAGAAGATTTCAAATTTTAAAAAAGCAGCATATTTCGTAATTAAAGTTGCCAACGGGAAGTGGGAAAAAAAAAGTTTTCCTATCGAGCGCGCAAATCTTTTCGATGAAACAGTAAAATTAATGGCTTAATTCACAAGAAATTACACTTAGCCTTTACAATGTGACAAAGGAAAAAAAATGACCATTTCACAGGTTTTAAAAAACGTCCGGCTTGATGGATTGACTTGATTCACAAGGACTTCAAAATGGCAACACGGCGACGAAAATATTTATAAAATCGGCGGCGTCACTGGAATGAAAAACCGGGCCATCGAATAGAAAATGCCAAATTCCGAGACTCCACCATGAATAATGATGCAGACAACAAAATATGTACATTGCAAAATGGAGTTCAATGTATGATCCATATCAAAAAGGGGTGCCTCAACAAAACGACGTGAAAAATAGAAGAAAATGAAAACGGATTGGCCGACACCGTCTCGAAAGGAAGAAAAAAACGTTAAGCCCATAAATATTCCGAGAATTTGCTTGGCGTACGAACCGAAAAAAAAACAAAGTTGTTACCAAATGAAGGAAAGAAGAGTGGATGGGAGCGCGAGCGCGTGCGACTCGCGAATAATCGGGAAAATCGGCAAAAGAGTGTGAACATGCAAACAAATTTGTTTGTCATATTGCCACAAGAGCATTCCAGAGGTTGGCACAACGAGGGAAAGAGAGAGAAC